ATGAGGTACGGACCTTCCCAAGACCTTTGAAGCTTCGGAGAATAATCCTTTTGTCTTTTTGGGTTATAGACCCAGATTTCTTTGCCTTCCTTAAAACATCCTTCTGTGGCTTGCGTATTGTATCGCTTCTTCATTCTGTCGCTGGCGATTTGAAAATGCGAGCGAACTAATTTATGCACGGCACGTTGTCCATTTCTCTTCATAACTGGATAACATAATCTTCACGGGCTATGTCTTCTCCAGGTCGACATCCAATCTCAACCTCGCACGGTAGTCTCATCTCATGCCCGAACAGTTAACTTTGATGGTATTTTGCCTGTAGATTCATTGACAATGGACCTATATGCTATTGCGAAGAGCGAAAGATACTCATCCCAATCTCGCTGATGGTTGGAAACTACTTTTGACAGGTATTTGCCAATGGCCTTATTCATTGGCCCTACCATTCCATCTGACTGTGCGTGCAATGCCGTAGTTCTGGTTTTCTTCATGCTTAATCTGCCTCTAAAAAGCTGCCTTAAAATTTCTTCCTTGGTCACTGTGGATCTCCAAAGACACTTCAAATCTTCTAATAAATTCTTTTAATAACAGGTCTGTAACAGTTGCGGCCTCTTGATTTGGAATGGCGTAGACTTACTTCCACCTACTTCGTGAAATAATCCATAACCACCATCATGTATTTATTTCCATTCTCGGTCTTAGGAAATGGTCCAACAATATCTAAGGCAATCCTTTTTCGTTGGGGTCCGTTACTCATATCAGAGGTGGTACATTTCTTACACCAGTTCTTTACATCATCGGAACTGTTCATCTAATAAAACTTTTCACGAACTTTGAAGGATTTTCTTAACATCGAGATGTACTCCTGATGGACTATCGTGTAACTGGCGAAGTATGTCGGCCACTCTAGTCCTTGGAATAACCAACTGTCTACTGTTTTCGGAACCATCATCATTCTGTAGTTCTCGCTTTAATAACCCTTTTTCTAGAATACAAGGGTCCCACTAGCCCAATATAACTTGATTATTGGAGATACTTTTGATACTCCTTGCCAAGTAGGTAGACGATTTTCCTCTTTCCATTGTCGCATCTTCTTTTAAACGGGATCGTTCTCTTGTTCTCTCTCAAGTTTGGCAGGGGCCCACTCATCGTTGACTACAGTTGTTCTTAGTAGTACATTTTGTTTGTATTCTGCTATGTTGCAGTGAAAGCTCTCTGCTGAGCACGGTCTTCTAGAAAGAGAATCGGCATTTTTGTGGCTTATTCCGGCTCTATGTTCGATCTTAAAGTCGTACTCTTGAAGTGGTTCAATCCATCTGGCGATTTGTCCCTTCGGATTTTTAAACTGCATCAACCACTTATGGACTGTATGATCGGTACCGATTAAAAATTTTCTTCCATATAGGTATTGGTATAAGTGTTCCACGCATTTCACAACTGACACGAGCTCTCTTCTCGTGACTCAATAATTCCGCTCAGATTTCGAGAGCACTTTATTAAAATAACCAATTACTATTTCTTTCCCCCCTTGAATCTGTAAAAGCACTTCTCCATTTCCCACATTATGGCATCAGTATCCAGAACAAATTCTATCTCTGGTAGTGGGTAGCCTAGTATTGGCGCTGTTGTTAAAGCTTTTTTAATGTTTCAGCAGAATTGTCTCGCTTCTTCTGTGAATCGTATTAATGGCTTATGAATCCTCGGTAGTACGTACATAGTCCAAGAAAACTTCTTATTGGATGTTTATTAGTTGGCTGTGGCCATTGGTTGATGGAAGCGACTTTCTTCTTATTTACAGCCACGCCATCCTTCCTAACTATATGACCCAGGTAAATAACTTTATTTTAAAATAGTTGGCACTTCTTGGGGTTAAGCATCAATTATGTAGCTTGGAGTCTCTTGAAAACATCTTCTAAGTTCTTTAGATGTTCATCAAATATCTTCCCCAAATACATCAGGCGGTTTTCCAGGGTAGCCCTCTTAATACAGTTTCCATAAGTCTTTCAAATGTTACGGGGGCATTACATAGTCCAATTACATAGTCCAAATGGCATGACATTGAATTGCCATAATCTAGATCCGGTGGTAAAAACTGTTCTTCGTTTGTCTACTGGGTCCATTTCCACTTGCCAATATACAGACTAAGGTAGAAAATAGTTACTTCCGGCCAATGTGCCCAAGGTATCGTCGATTCGAGGCAGAGAATAACTATCTTTTTTGGTAACATTGTTGAACTGATGGTAACCGTATCCTCCTGTATAGCAACTGGCACGGTACTGTCCCCATATGGAGATATCAGAAGAAACTTTAGTTTCCAAAGAAGAAATTTTGTTTTTACGGAAGACATATGAGACGAAAACTTTTCTTCTAAGGAAATATAATTTTTTATAGAAGCATCTAAAGAAACTTTAGTATCCAATGAAGAAATGTCAGAGGTTTTTAAAGAAGACATATCGTTTTTCATATCAGAAATTAAAGAAATTATAGGAGACGCATCATCCGAAAATAGATATGTTTCCGAATCCAAACATTCATTTTCTAGTGCTTTTTTAATTGGTTCTGCCAGCTCTGATTTCTTTCCTGTCGTCACCAGTTTACGTTCTTCTAACTCTCGACGTAACTCAGACACTTTTTGAATCACACAGTTTTTTAGCCATTATTGCCTACGGCGTCGTGCTCAAATTTCGTCTTCGTGCGATATGGCCATCATATCCACTCTTGTTGCACAAACTACTATTTCAATATTAAATCGTCGTTTTTCCCGTCATAGAAAAAAATAGTGTATTATACACGGAAAAATAATAGATTTCAGCCAATCTAATATTTTTTCCTTGCATAATATATAACTATTAATATTTAGTAATTTGGTATTCTTCTGAAAATATATTTTATTAACTCAAATGATATATTTACATAGCGTAAGTAAAATTCTGTAGTATTCGATTTACGTTATCTTAGATACTCACATAGTCTAAGATACGAAGTAAAGTCGACCTTCACCCATCTGCCTAATGACTGAACCGTATTTTTTATTAAAATAAATAGAATATGTTAAATATACCGCAAATGAGTTACCTAAGAAAATGATTTCAAGACTATTTATTTTCTTAGAATAAAGAAAACGACACCCTATAAAGTATTCCCAGATGCTTCGATTATGCCCAAAATTTAATCAGCACACCGCAGGATGGATTAAAGCTTAAGTTTAAAATATGGGTTTTTTTATACGTTTTTGAGTTATCTTCAAAATTTGGAATTTGCACATTTTTTCAAATATCTCTATCTGTATACAAACAGGAAAGTAAAAGATTGCCTTGACAGTATTTTTTTAGGAAACCCATTTGCGGCATATTTATTAACATATTTATTAAAAAATATCTTTCATCCATTAAGCATATGGGTAAAGGCTGACCTTACTTTGTATCCTGTACAGGTAATTCTTTAATCTAACATAGACTCTGATCGCCATTAGTGATAGACCCTAACGTACCCATGAACTCAAATAGTTATAACGGATGTATTGTGGTTTGGTCGAGGTAAAACTTATTAGAATCAAATTTCATCTATGTCAGAGTTGGTTTAGAAAATTTTTATTGGTTCCAGACCGCACAGGTTAGGTAAATTAGTTAACCTTCTAGAGAGTATGAGGTGTGTACACTCTGGGTAATAAAACATATTTACTTGTATTTAAAGTTTGTAAGTAGCGAAAATTATTAAAATATTTCCTTGAATTTATTAAAAAACGTTGAGCGCTTTCGCTATCATCGGGACATTGTCAAAATAAAAAAAAAATAGAATCAACAGGTTAGTCCAACAGGTCGTAGATAAACAAAACAAAAAGCTCCTACCTAATTAGTTCCACGTGGGTGAGAGGAATGTAAGAAATGTCTATAAAGCCCAACTATTAGTGAGATCCCAAGGTATGTTCCTATAAAAGAACCCACCTACGTGGAGATAATTAGACAATTTGGTGGGAGCTTTTGATTTCGTTTACCCACTAGTCCAGTAACTTTCTCGTGTGAAAGGGGAAACCTTGCGTCAAATTCGGTAGTTCTGATTTTCTGTTGGCCCAATGAATAATCCAAGTTTTCGACCTGTCAAAATGCCAAATAAAGTTCAAATTTCTTCAGTTTATGGCGATTTTAACCCCAAAGGAGTAGTTTTCGATTAAAACTCATACGTTTTTAAAGTAGATTAAATTTGATACAATTCTGGTGTAAACCAAATATTTACCGAAATACAGAGTTGAAATTTTCGTTGGAAACTGTAACTGGGTTGACCGAAAAACAGAAAGAAGCTGGGGTCAACTGGTATCGAAAAATTTTGAAAACATGTTCAGCATCGTCAGTTGTGATGAATCGTGGATTTAACTACTTGTATGAACTTGAAAATAAACACCAATCGTTTGGGGTTCCAAGGTGAAGAAAATCCGACAAAAGTCATTCGTTCTCGAAGTGTGTTCAAAAAGACGGTTGCAACATTTATCTCAAAAGCAAGTTATGTAGAATCAATTTCTCTGTAAGATCAAAGGACTGTTACTATCAATTGGTAAAAAAATCATTTGTTTGCCGGAAGTAATCGATGAGTTTCGAAAAACAAACTCTGAAAGACGAATTATCGTCTATCAAGACAATGCAAGTTCACAAACAGCTTGCAAGACATTTTTAGAGCAAGAAAACGTCAAATTGTCAAACCATCCTCTGTACAGTGCCGACTTAAGTCACGACAACTTTTTTACCTTTCCAAAAATCAAGAACGGACTGCATGGTCACAGGTTCCACTCGCTAGAAGAAGCTGTCGACGCCTTCAAAAGAGCAATTTTGAACGTATCAACAAAGGAGTAGCATAAATGCTTCCAAGTGGGTTCGAGCCAATGCAAACGTGCATTAATCTTCTAGTATACTCCGAAAAACAAAAAGTACTTAAAATGTATCTACTGTTTTATTCCAGCTCTATATGCAAAATTAAAAACACAATAGTTTATAAAATAGTTCATTTACCGGATTTTTAAGTAATTCGTCAAGCCTTTCTTCGATGCTTCTACCTTTTTTTGGCCTCATCAACAGGTAAATACTTTGTATATCGGGGCAGGATCTAAGCAATTTTTCCACCAAAGCTTTTCCTACGAACCCCGTGCCACCTGTAATGAAAATGTTTGAATTTTTGTAAAAGTTTGTGATGCTATCTGTCTCATTCCAAATGGACTCGATTTGGTTCGAGTTGTATTGGTAAAATCTATTGAGGTGGACTGTCATGGCTGCTCTGGAACAACAGAAATAAATATTTTAGACTTGATACTTTTCTCGGTGTACACGAAATTTATTATTGTGGCGAGGCCTAGAAAAGCTGAAAGACCAAAAAGAAGCAATTCTGGTTCAACAGGATATATGTTACGGAAACACAACGTATTAAAATTGAGCTTTGTAGAATTATTAGTTTCTTTTTAAGATCAAACCTGACCTCTTGTAAAAAACTTTTTTAATGATTTTATAACATAAAATTGTATTTATATGCGCGCCACTGGGGATAATTTATGATATTATGTATTTAGAGAATACTGAGAACTTAAAATTTGTGCAACGATACGTCAGGAATCTACATTTCAGAAAAAAGGTGTTACTAGATATTTGTTAAAACAAACAGCAAGCCTGGAAGAGGGTTGAAAATTACATCAATTTTGAGTAGAATGAAAGGAAATTTACTAGTGGCTCCTGGAGATAACATATCGAAAATTCGATTTTCATTAACAAAAATTAAGGTTCTTTTTTGCACATATTTTCACGCAAGCCGTGTTCACTAAATGATTAACTAATAGAACTAGGCCTCGAAAAACAAAAGTGGCTAAAGGATTGAGATAAGGGCGTTTATCCTGTAAGAAAAAAATTGAGATTTAAAAAAAAAAATTCCATACAAGCCCATCGAATTTATAAAAACGTACATCGTCACGAGTCCGAAAAACATATTGGCTCGAATGACCCGAATAGATAAGTTTATTTTAGGGTCAAAAATATTTCTCTTAAGAAAAATCGAATTTTCCATGTGTTATTCCCAAGAGCCACCCGTAAATTTCCTTTTAATTTACTCAACATCGATGTACTTTTCAACCCTCTTCGAAGCTTGTATGCGAAAATAGGGTACCTAAATCGGTCACTATCTGACGGTCTAAAAAATTCTTAAATGACAAGGTTAGGTGTTTATTGGCGTTGGTTTACTTCTACTTGATTATGGTCACTCTTATATAACGTCAGCCAGTTTTCATTCACTACTTTCGGTTTACCGTTTGGCACCTTTCTTTTCTGTTTACTTATTTACTTATTTATTGCAGTACACTACAGATATAATCCAACTGGTACATGGTAAGAGCAAAAGATAGTATAGACAATGATATAAAAAAATATATAAAAAGACAATTTGCATCAAAAAAATAAAAATAGATTTAATAACATACAAATACAATGTGAAACATAATTGCATCAAAGGAATACAAATAGATTTAAAAACAAATATAATGGAAAACAAATACAAATTTTTCCAATACGAAAAAACAATTAAATTTAGATAGAGAAGAGATCTATAGTCTAATGTTATTTTTATTAGTTTGCGTAATATCGTAATTTGAAAAATTATTATTATAGTTACCTACCTAATAACCTGTCGATAAATGAATGTTTGCCGTAATTAGTACTATGTATTATCGATAGCTAGAAATATGATTGTCTGTTCTTTTGTTGGATAATGAATAGTAAAACTTGTAGTGTTTTCATTCAGGGATCTCCTGTAGTCAGAAGTCTCAGTTAGAGTTCTTAACATACTTTTAATATTCGCAACATTGATTTAAACCCAAGTACAGACATGTACTCAAATCGTCAATGACCATAAATATCGCAGATAGACTTAAGGTGCCCATTCACATACAGTTCGCCTGCAGTTCTGTGACTGTACGATCTGATCTGAAGATTTAAACTTTCTCAGGCCACACACCATTCAGTTAAACTTGAACGATGCAACCTCAGTTTTAAGACTGTCAGTTCTTGAACTGCAGGAAAACTGAGCTGGTACCACACACACAAACATTTTGTCGGTACTAATCGAACGATCTTTGGAATGATCCCACTGTAGTGAACAATGTTTTTAATAAATGATAACGTTAGGAAAAAATCTTAGCTACACTTCTTGTACTTTTATTATTGCAAGAGCCAGTAACAAGGGCAAAGAAACGTTTTTGGGTAAAAGACACAACGCGATACATTATCTCATGTAAGGTTGGTGCGAAAACTAAGAACTAGTGCAACAGAAGACCTTAAAAACTACCTTAGAATGGATGATACATGTTTTAAGGAACTTTTAAACATGGTTAAGCCCTTAATATCAAAGAAAATTACAAAAATAAGGAAAGCAATTACAGCCGACATACAAATTCAAAATCAAAATATTAAATCACTTTAGTGCGGTTTTATAATTTTGGAAAAGTAACAAATTCTGACAACTTCTGCTGGTAAGTTTCCTGCGGATCTGGAATATGTTCGCTATAGATGTCAAATGTTGTAGCACTGGAAGGTCCTGCTGAATCTTCTTGATAGTTGTAAGTGGTTACATTTCGAGATCTGCTTGTACTTTCCGCAGAATAATTATTATATACACTAGGTTGATTTGGATTGGAACTTTAATATTTAACGGAGTATGAAATGAGTGAGGATAAGGAACATTATTTGTATTCAAAACAACATCACTGTAATCATTTAATTTGTTTTGAATTCCAAGAAGAACAACTTTATTTATTAAATGCTCTGCATATGCTTTTTGATTTTCATTCATTTTACGTAATTTGCAAGCAACATTATTTCCAACTGCGTCATATTCATCTTGGTTTCATATTCATAAGGTTTCGCATGCTTTTTCAATCAGGCTTTCCCTTGACCTTTTTTTGTTTGTTCTATTGATGAAGTCCTACTTGGAGTTCGGGTTGGTGGCTGGGATATTGATGAAGTTCTGCTGGGAGTTTCTGAGTGTCTTTCAATTGCTGGTGTACCAGGCGTATCAAGTAGTGAAAAACTTGTCTCGTCATTTTCCACAGTAACATTGCTATCACTTTCGGTTCATCTATGTCGTTCTAAAATAAAATTTTAACAAAAATGTGGTACTTGAATGTTGAAAGCATAATTTTTGTTTTAGTTTCCGAATACTGTTGAAGAATGGGCAAAAATGGCCCGTTATATTACTATATACTGTTATATTGTAGATAAAATTTTCCTAATTGTGGGGGCGCCATCGATGGCAAACATATAAAAATAGTGAAACCCGCCAACAGCGGATCTTATTATTTTAATTATAAGGAGTATTTTAGTATCGTTTTAATGGCTATCGTAGACGCAAATTAGGAATTTATTTATGTAGATTTTGGCTGCAATGGACGAGGCGTCATTGAAAACACAAGGTTTTATGACAAGCTAATGGGAAAAACATTGAAACTACCTTCTAATGATATAACAGTAGACAAAATGAACTTCGTTTTTGTAGCTGATGATGCTTTTGCATTACACGAGAATATTGTGAAACCGTTTCCTGATAAAAACCTGAGTAAAGAACAAAGGTTAACTACCGTCTCAGTCGATCTCGACGTACAGTAGAAAATGCTTTTGGCATTTTAGCCAATAGATTTAGAGTTTTTCATACGTCAATTAATATGAAACCAGAAAAAATTGACCAAATAGTATTAGCGGCAATTGTTTTACATAATTTTTTGAGACTAAAGACAAACAATTATATCTCCAAAAACTACGTGGATTTTGAAGTTTTAGATACTGGAGACATAGTAAAAGGTGACTGGCGCAATGGAATGGTGCTTGATGGTTTGAAGCCTATTTTAAATCGCAATTCATCTCGCGAAGCTAATGAGAATCGGGAGTTATTTTTTAGGGACAGGATAGTTCCACGGCAAGATAATTTCTTATAAAAATAATTTAACTTTTAAATAAACACATCTTTTATGTATTTAATGTAAAACCTTAAAATAAATTTAATTCAGACATTATTTATTTGATTTATTTTTTTTTTACCAGTTTTCAGTAAAAAACCTATAGACAAGTATTTCCTCGTTTAGCTGCGTAGTTTAAAATAATTTTACAGTATTTTTAATATGTATATATGATAAAAACATAGATACCTACCAATGTGCAAAAAAATCAAGATTTCCTTTAAAAAATCAAATAATCAGATTTTTTTGATTTAAATCAGATTCTTTTAATATCGGATTTCCTTAATATAATTAACGGCTTATTTCCACCTAAAGTCAGTAAAAGAGATTTTGTTTGGAAATGTTCGAGGTCGAGAATCTGATGAAACTGAAAATTGAACTTACTAATTCCAGTTTTCAATTTCATCAGATCCGACGTGAGTTTTACATGGTAGTTGTTTTTCGATTTATTAAAAATATTTAAACATTACAACAGCAAGTGTAACAATTTATTTAGTCAATAGTTATTAAGTATATGTGTTATATGAATTTTTTTGGTTTTATAACTTTTACAGTTATTTTTCGATTTATTATAAGTACTTAAACAAGTTGACTTTTTTGATTAAAATCCCACGATTAATATAAAAAATCGGCCGATTTAAATCACTATTTCATTCTTGATTTAAATCAAGTTGATTTAAATCTTTGCACCCTGATACCTACTCTTTTATGCCTTAGAACTGTTGATCACATTGACATAACACATAATTTATTCATGCAAACCTACCTCAGTTTCAGCTTCTTCATCGCTTTGAGTGTCATTTTAAACAGACGCTCGAGGCTCTTCTTGATCCGCCGTAAACATCAACATTTTAAAGTATCACAATGTAGGCACATAAATGTTATCAGAGGTTTCACCTGTTCGCTTTGATTTTCTCACTTTTTTCAGTTCTTTCCGAAAAGCACTTCGTAAATTATTTTTTTTTTTGACAAAATCAACTGTTGCATTTTGATCCACAGTTTTATAAAACTCTAGCAATTTTTCATAGGCTTTGTTTTTTTCTTGTCTGTTTGAATATGATTTACTTTTTATTTTCCAAAGACAACGAAACTGTATATAAATCGATAAACTCGCTTACAAATGTGGTATTATGGCCTAGATCTCTCATCTTTTCTACAAAAACTGTATGTGAATGGGCACCTTGAGCGATTAATTTAATATGCAAATTTACTAGTTTTTGCTTCGATTCCAATACCATACAGGTACAATGATTGCTGTCGAATGTCGTCGGTTGAAAATTAGGTTTAT